CATTTTTGCAAAATAAATAATGTATGGTAATCTGGAATTTCAAAATCAAACTTCAGTTTCAAAATTGTCTTTCCTAACGCCTGGCTTTCTGGATGGATTAGAGAGCCCTTAAAAACTTCCAGAGAAGAGGTAAACAGGATTATTTGACATGTTTAGGTACAGGAGATTGCCAAAATGATGTTCAATCTTCTTTAGGTTATATTTTTGTGAATAATACTAATATATATTACTAATATAAATGTTAATATATTAGTAATATATATTACTAATATAATACTAACATATATAATACTAATAATTCTAATTTCAGAAATTGTATGGGATTTCTAAGTATATGATACCAATCACAATTATAGTTATCATGTCAAGCTATTATAAACCACAGAAATAACCAAATTTCCTTGTATAAAGCTACTAACCTAAGTATAACATAAAATTAATTAAATATCAAGAAAATGCTTTCATGTTAATCCAGCTAATACTAAAATTGTTTAAAGTAGTTTATAAGCAATGCTTGATTACATATTCCTGGAAAAATAATTAAAGCTTCAGGTGCATTTGGTCACCTTTTAAAACCATTTAAACATTTTATAAAGGGATTTCCTTTGATTGTTATTTTCAATGCATGTTTTCTAGTTGTATGAAAGCTTTCCTATGAAAGAGGGCTGATGTTATAACAGTTGATTATTATGCTACAGTGTATTTTTACCAGGTAAAGAAAGCTTTTTTATGGTTTCAATCTTCTGGAAACATTAGAGAAAGACTGTCCTTGCCACCCACACTGCAACAAAGATTCGGGACTTTGGGCTTTTGGTTCTTGGTTTTCCAATCAAGAAAGGTTCCTTCGCACTTTGGGAATTTCACATTCATTGGAACCCTTGAGTTAAAGTTAAGCAGGGAAATTTGTCCCAAGAGGAAGATGGCATCCTTGATGCGAACAGCTTACCCAAGTTCACAGAATAAGACTTCTACCACTGGTCGGGAGAGGTGGCTCATACCTGTAATCCCAGCACTTTAGGAGGCCGAGGCAGGTGGATCACCTGAGGTCAGGAGATCGAGACCAGCCTGACCAACATGGTGAAACCCCGACTCTACTAAAAATACAAAAATTAGCCAGGCCCGGTGGCACACGCCCACTGTGACAGCTACTCAGGAGGCTGGGACAGCAGGCATGTGCCACCGGGCCTGGCAGGAGAATCAATCGCTTGAATCCAGGAGGCTGAGGATGGAGTGAGCCGAGATCGCGCCACTGCCCTTCCAGCCTGGGTGGACAGAGTGAGACTCTGTCTCAAAAACAAAAACAAAAAAAAAGATTTCTACTGTCATAAAACTATTATCTATGATTTTCTTTTTTTGCTTATGCTTCTATGAACAATAGAAGTGGAGATGGAGTCTGTTATGTATACTAATGCGGTGTACTTTTATTTGTGAAGGAGTTAGCAGCCGCCTTGTACTTGAATATAAGACTACCTTATATTCTGATAGATAAAAGATGAAGTCTTAAAGTAAGAAATTTTAATGGTAAATGCATTGCTTCATAATCAATCTAAAAACAAAACATTGGTTCACTCCTCTTAACCCACATCATGGGTTAAAGAGAAAGTTGTCAGAAGGCCTTCAATCTTCTAAAGGGGCATCATTTGTCCAGTCCTTTTTCCATGATTTAAAACAAAAGAAGCTGTAATTAAAAATGTATCCCTCATGATAGGTTCTATAGCAAATTCTACAGTTACACTATAGGCCCTAAATTCTCTTGTGAAAGTTATGATAAAATTGGCTAAACAGATAAGTGTCTGTGCAGCTGCTGGCACTTTTGGCCTATAGAGAAATACATCAAGTGAAGATTATGGAATTTCGGTGGTAGGGGGTTAACAAAGAGACTGTTTAGTTAAGTGAGTCAACTCTTTATCTAGCTCATTCTTTGATCTATTTGATTTTAGGAGGTTTGGTTTAAGGGGACCTTGGGTAAGGAGCATATGTTGAACCCTTGGTAGTCTCCCCAGTGTGCTATATATTCTTTCAAAGGTTTTAAACCTTTAAACCACCTTTCAAAGGTGGTTTTTGGTTACATGGAAAAATTATTTAGTGGTAATTTCTATGACTTTGGTGAAATTGTCAGCCAAGCAGTGTACATATTACCTAATATATGTCTTTTATTCTTCACTCCCCTCCCACCCTTCTCATCAAGCTCAAAATTCTATTATATCATTCTATTTTAAAACAATACAAAACAGGATAATTGTTTGTGGATTAAAAAAAGGTCCTTTTTTGTTTTGTTTTGTTTTCTTGACAGCATGTGTCCATCTCTAGAATGTCACATGGTCTCTCTTCAACTGGAATAACAGGAGCTAAAAGAAATGTGCAACCATGAGAACACTGTAACCTATTTATGATGTGCTAATACTGGAAACCCAAAATGATGGTAACTGAGAGCGGTGCTAAGGCCCTAAGTTTTGGTCACATTCTCACTCCAAAAAGGAGGAATTTTTTAAGCAAAATTCTAGGAAGCTACTATTTGGGACTAAGCTCAGGCACTAGGCCCCAACAAACCACACCAAACTAAAATGGAGTTACTTGTGCTAAGACTTTAAGATAACACATGGATTCTAGAACAGACCAGGTTTTTTTTTCTTCTGTAAATATCTTTAACAAACATTTCTAACAATAATAGGTATCCTCACCCTGAAGTTCCCATTAAATTTTTTAACGAAACGCATTTCCTCGCACCTAGAGACCATCAGGCTTCAGATGATCATGCAACAAAGGCTCCAGCCAGTTCCAGGTGAAGACACCATTCCCAGCCATCTAGGAGCTACCCTGCCTCCAGCAGACAGAACAGGGTAAGAGTTCCGTAATCCCCAATAGGTAGGGACTATGCCCCATGTCAGCATGAAGCATTTACAGAAAAAAGATAATCGGTCCCTCTTCCTCCCATGAAGTTTTATGGGAATCACATCTCTCAGGGGGAAATGAGGCAGGAAAATAGGGTCTGAAGGTAGGGAACATAAGGCCGATTTACACTTCAGCTATAACTGGAAATATCTTCTTCATAGAACATACAACGAGTAAATAACTTTGTAACTTTACTTCATCCTCTTCATTTACATAGGTTGTACCCCAATTAGAGGGTATTTAAACTCATAAAAACTTTGTAACAGGGACTTTGTGCCCCTATGCTCAGGCCTGCTCCTACACTGTGATTCTTGCCTTGGTTTGTTTGTGCATTTTGTCCAATTCTTTGTTCAAGATGCCAAGAACCTAGACACCCTCCACCATTAACAGTGATTGTTCTGAATCTGCACTGCATCCTTAAGTCATTCATGTACCACTTAATGATATTTTCAATACTGTTATACTACCTTTAATATAATGCTTCCTTGAGATACATTTAACTATTCAAATGTTTCTCAAATTAATGTGCCATCCAGTGTTGCATGGGCAACTGCTCTGATATCTTTTAGGTACTTCACTCCTTAGATCACCCAAGATCATTTAACATTTCATCACTTGTACTTCAGTTTCAGAACCATTACATTACACCTCACATGGGTTAAATGTGGTTGGAACACAATGGCACTTATCTCTCATTAATAGCCTTACTATCTTTTGATAAGGAAATACTACTTGTAACTTCATCTTTAATGTAAACTGTTTTGACCTGGCCATCCTTCCTCCACTCAGCCACATTTCCAAGAAAGTCTAAAGGAAGACTTTAAGCAGATGGCACTAGCCTTTTTTTTTTTTTTTTTTTTTTTTTTTTTTTTTTTTTCCGACACAGTCTTGCTCTGTCACTCAGGCTGCAGTGCAATGGTGCAATCATAGCTCACTATAATCTTGGCCACCTAGGCTCAAGCAATCTTGCCACCTTATTTTTTTCAACATTCTACTCCTCTACAGTGAAAGACCTAATTTCAACTCTGCTTTCATAATAAATTTTAACCTTTATGCTCTAGATATTTTACACTCATTTATCATTAATTTTTGAAGAAACTCTGGGTAGATTTTATCATAGTTCTTAATTTTTAGTTCTTTCAGTTTTTTTTTTGTCTTAAATGCTGATGGTTCACTAAGTTTAAAAAGAAGCAGCTACCCGATAAAATTATACAATATATAAAATAATTTACAAAGGATGCTCAGGTAGCAATGTAAGGAGGACTTGCAAAATCCTTGACATTCTATAACAGGATCAGCAAGTTTTTTATTTTTAATTTTTAATTTTTTTATTTTTTTTGAGACAGAGTTTCGCTCTTGTTACCCAGGCTGGAGTGCAATGGCGCGATCTCGGCTCACCGCAACCTCCGCCTCCTGGGCTCAGGCAATTCTCCTGCCTCAGCCTCCTGAGTAGCTGGGATTACAGGCAAACACCACCATGTCCAGCTAATTTTTTGTATTTTTAGTAGAGACGGGGTTTCACCATGTTGACCAGGATGGTCTCGATCTCTCGACCTCGTGATCCACCCGCCTAGGCCTCCCAAAGTGCTGGGATTACAGGCTTGAGCCACCGCGCCCGGCCCAGCAACTTTTTTAAAAATAAAATTTATTTTAAATTAACCTTTTTGTTATTAGATAATTATAGATTTACATGGAGTTTTAAGAAATAATACAAAAATGCCCACATATTCTTTACCCAGTTTCCATCTTAATAATATAATGCTGGGAACAGTGTGGACCCCACGGTGGTGATGAGAAACCCCAAGCTTCTGGAAGAATTGGTAAAACCCGAGCTATCTGAAATAACAAGAAATTGTTGTTAATTTTTAACCTGTAAATTCTCTTATGAATTTGGTGGCCCAGAAATGAGTTATTTGCTTTGTTATGCTTGTTACTTCCTGAATCGATTATATTTGAGAAAATGAAGAATAATATGAAAAGTTAAAATGTAGCTTGTAACTTTGGCTCTGCTGAGCTGTTCTTGTAAAACAGGAACTCTGTGTTAAAGACAAACCACATAGCCTGACTGCCAGAGAGAGATAACAGCAAAGCACGTAATAAGCTTCTCCTTGCAGATAGCCTATAAACAAACATGTAATGGAGAGGCTTATTACCCAGATTCCTTTCCCAGGAAAGGCATGTTAATTATAGCCCTGGAAAGGGAATGCAACCCTTATTGAGAGCATATAAACGGATGCAAGAGGGGCGTCTGTCCTGAGGAAAAACCTCTGTGGTGGAGATAAGGATGTAAGTATTTCTTCTCCCTCTGCTCCTCCAGGCCTGCATGGAGGTCCCCCTCCTCTTGCAGTTTTGTGGTCAGGCTGGTTGTATTGTGTCAGATCCTGTTCTCCCTGCAGCTGTGAGCCCAATGCTTTTCTTGCTGATAATTGTAAGTTTATAATTAACCTCTATGCTTGCTAAGGTTTATGGTTTTTATGCTGATGCACAGATAGTAACTTTTACATTGTTCCGCTTTTACAATACCATATTGTGATCTTTGGTCAACAGTTTTTGCTTATGTTTCTTTTTGTATAATTATCACTGAAACTTTGTGTAACCTCTCTCCCCCTCCCCTAATGAAAGTATATAATAAAAACTGAGGTTTTTCAGGGGAATGTTAGACATCCCCGGAGCAGCATTATGTGGTGTCTCCCCTGGGCCCAGCCTTAAGGAAAACTGTTTCCTTGTCTTTCTTTCTTTTCACTGACCACTTGATCACTTTGACAGACTTTGAATCTACATTGACGTGTTAGGAGCTGGTCTTTTAATAATATAGTACCATAGCACAGCCAGGATCTTGCCTTTAATACACCTAAGACAGTGGGACAGAATACCTCATGGTACACCTCTATCTATTGTCACACCCATTACTCTCCTGTCCCCCACTATCTTAACCTCTGGAAAACACTAATCTGTTAGAGCCTGGATCTTTTTTATATTTCAATAGTTTGTGGGGTAAAGATGGTTTTTGGTTACATGGCAAAGTTCTTTAGTGGTGATTTTTGAGATTTTGGTGAACCTGTCACCCAAACAGTGTACACAGTACCTACTATATGTCTTTTATCTCTCACTCCCCTCCCACCCTTCTCCCCAAGCTCAGAATTCCATTATGTCATTTTATTTTAAAACAATACCAAACAAGATAATTGTTTGTGGATTTAAATAAAGGTATTTTGTTTGTGTGTTTTTTGTTTTCTTGAGACAGAGTCTCACTCTGTGGCTCAGGCTGGAGTGCAGTGGTGCCATCTTGGCTCACTGCAACCTCCACCTCCCAGGTTCAAGCGATTCTCCTGCCTCAGTCTCCTGAGTAGCTGGGATTACAGGCTCCCACCACCACACCTGGCTAACTTTTGTATTTATAGTAGAGACAGGGTTTTACCATCTTGGCCATGGCTGGTCTCTAACTCTTGACCTCAAATGATCCACCTGCCTTGGCCACCCAAAGTGCTGAGATTACAGGTGTGACCCACCGCACCCAGCCAGAAAAAAAAAAAAAAAAAAAAAGAAAGAAAGTTTTAAGGCAGCCATAGTAAAAAGACACAACTAACAAGAAAATTTCTTAACTCTATGGCACACAATGATTTTAACATAACAATTATGATTATTACTGATAATGTACACTAAGTTATATCAGCATTACAGGAGTTTCTCATAATTTTGGAACACATACCTGTAACATTTTTATACAAATACAGCCCAAAGAAAAGCAAATACCATTTCATATTTGACAAAGCTTCCTGTATAATTTTTATATCAAAATAAGTCAAATTATTTCATTTATAGACTATAGGAAGCCTAATATCTTAAAGGATTAATTAGGTTAGAAAAAGACATAATTTAAAATTTTATTTTGGAAAGTTTGTCAAATACAAAAGGTTTACATCACTTAATATTAAACAATGGAATTACAAGTCATTGAAAAGACATTTATTTAGCCAAAGTGATAATTCAAGCATTTCAAACATCCTTCAGTCTTTGAGAAAGGAGACTTAGTTTTCTAAACCATAAGCCCTAATGAAAACAGCATGAAGGCCAGGTGCAGTGGCTCACACCTGTAATCCCAGCACTTTGGGAGGCTGAGGAGGGCAGATCATGAGGTCAGGAGATCGAGACCATCCTGGCCATGGTGAAACACCATCTCTACTAAAATACAAAAAATTAGCCGGGCATAGTGGCATACACCTGTAGTCCCAGCTACGCAGGAGGCTGAGGCAGGCGAACTGCTTGAATCCAGGAGACAGAGGTTGCAATGAACCAAGATCATGCCACTGCACTCCAGCCTGGCAAAAGAGCAAGACTCTGTCTCAAAAAAAAAAAAAAAAAAAAAAAAAGAAAGAAAGAAAGAAAACAGCATGAAGCCAATTACATTTGTTTTTCAAAAATTTGTAATCTATAAACTTTCATCTTGATGATAAAATATAACTTCCATTAGCCTTTTATAACCTTTATTAAGAAGTTGAGCCGGGCGCGGTGGCTCAAGCCTGTAATCCCAGCACTTTGGGAGGCCGAGGCAGGTGGATCACGAGGTCGAGAGATCGAGACCATCCTGGTCCACATGGTGAAACCCCGTCTCTACTAAAAATACAAAAAATTATCTGGGCATGGTGGCGCGTGCCTGTAATCCCAGCTACTCAGGAGGCCGAGGCAGGAGAATTGCTTGAACCCAGGAGGCGGAGGTTGCAGTGAGCCGAGATCGTGCCATTGCACTCCAGCCTGGGTAACAAGAGCGAAACTCCGTCTCAAAAAAAAAAAAAAAAAAAACAAAAAAAAACAAAAAAACAAAAAAACAAAAAAGGAAGTTGGTTAATGTTTCAAGAAAACCTTGTTAATCTGACACAGAGGTCCATATACTGGTTTTACATCAGTGTGCCTTTGACATTTGACATTAATTTATAGAGAAACTGAATGCATTTTATCTTTCAAAATCGGCCCTTACATTCTTATGGGTCCATCTCTTCTGCTATAGTCCCTGGGACTTGAGGAGTTGAATAGCTTTAATTTCTTGCCCTGTATCTCAGGAACGTAGTTTGTTTTTATTGGCATCTTCCAAGGGGCCTGAAGATGAGGCTTTAATTGCTGTCAGTGTTTGAGATTTGGCAGGATTTGGGTTCTTTTTTTTGTTTTTTTGAGACAGAGTGTCGCTCTTGTTACCCAGGCTGGAGTGCAATGGCACAATCTCGGCTCACTGCAACCTCCACCTCCTGGGTTCAAGCAATTCTCCTGCCTCAGCCTCCTGAGTAGCTGGGACTACAGGCACGCGCCACCATGCCCAGCTAATTTTTTGTATTTTTAGTAGAGACGGGGTTTCACCACGTTGACCAAGATGGTCTCGATCTCTCGACCTCGTGATCCACCCGCCTCGGTCTCCCAAAGTGCTGGGATTACAGGCTTGAGCCACCGCGCCCGGCCAGGATATGGGTTCTTTAACCCAGAAGCTAATGCCCTGTGACTCAATGTTACAAGGACTTTTTTTTTTTTCTTTGTGACTGAGTCTCGCTTTGTTGCCCAGGCCGGAGTGCAGTGGTGCAAACTCGGCTCACTGCAAGCTCTGCGTGCTGGGTTCAAGGGACGGGCCTTCACCATGCTAGCCAGGCTGGTCTCCAACTCCTGATCTTATGATCTGCCCGTCTCAGCCTCCCAAAGTGCTGGGATTACAGGCGTAAACCACAGCAAACCACTGCACTCAGCCATTACAAGGACTTTAAAAGCACATACAGAACATGAATATAAGCTTCATTAAAAAAATTATTTTTTTATTTGTAAGTAAACCAAAACTTAATAATAGTATGAAAACTTGATTATATAAAAGTTTTGGGGATTTTTTGGTAAATATATGTAAGTCCTCTTATTGTGACTTACACTGACTGTTCATGACATGGTCAGACTTTCTGATTAGTTCCCAACATCCCTCTTTTTTAAAAAAGCAGTTATTTTACTTTAGGACTAATGTTACCCTACGAGATTATTTCTTATATAAAATTATTTCTCTTTAAGCTTTTTAACTTCAAAAAAATACTTCTTTACTTTTATAACTTTCTTTACATCTTTTAAAAATATTATTATTTTTATTTTAAAGAGAGAATCCAGAAAGATGGAATCCAGGAGAGAAAAGCAGCTTCCACACTGAGGGGAAGGGAATAGAGAGAGAGGGATGGAGTTTAGGAGGGGAAGACAGGCTTCCAGGAGGGAGTGTGGAAGGGGACTCCAGAGGGGAAATCCAGGAGAGAGAAAGATGGCATCCACGTTCGTGGAAGGGGACCCAAACATGGAGTCCCTCTTTACATCTTTTTTTATTCCTGGTTTCTTTTAACTTGTTTTAGACATTTTAGACCTTTAGACCTTTAAATAAGTTTTGAGTTACATAAAATTTGTTCATCTTTTTTTTTTTTTTGAGATGGAGTTTCGCTCTTGTTACCCAGGCTGGAGTGCAATGGCGCGATCTCGGCTCACCGCAACCTCCGCTCACCGCAACCTCCACCTCCTGGGCTCAGGCAATTCTCCTGCCTCAGCCTCCTGAGTAGCTGGGATTACAGGCACGAGCCACCATGCCCAGCTAGTTTTTTGTATTTTTAGTAGAGATGGGGTTTCACCATGTTGACCAGGATGGTCTCGATCTCTCGACCTCGTGATCCACCTGCCTCGGCCTCCCAAAGTCCTGGGATTACAGGCTTGAGCCACCGCGCCCGGCTCATCTTTTTTTTGAAGGATATACTCTGTTTTCTTTGGTAAGAATGTTTTCCTACAATATATATTTATTGAAAAATACCCAAATAATAAAATAACTATTAATTTAATATAGCTTTATATTCTAAATTATGACCAGTTTATCTACAAATTATTTATCCATTTTTTTTTTTGAGATGGAGTATTTTTATTAGAGATGGGGTTTCACCATGTTGACCAGTATGGTCTCGATCTCTTGACCTCGTGATCCACCCGCCTCGGCCTCCCAAAGTGCTGGGATTACAGGCGTGAGCCACCGCGCCTGGCCTATCCAATTACATTTACTGAAACTGTTTACGTGGATTATTTAAGAAAACTGTAATAGTCATGATTTAAAGTTATGAAACCACCATAGCAAAATTATAACTGAGACAGTGAAAAAATATTTGATGTAACTGACTCCATGTTGCTCTTAACTTCCAAGTTGTCTTAGTTTATTCCTCAGCATAGGCTGAACACACTTAGGGAGAAACACAGTTTATAGTATAGCTTTGAAAGAATGACAATAACAGTCCTTTCTCAAA